ACCTTTGCTAGCTTAGTAGCCCATTAAAGATTAAAAGGCTGACAATAAAGATGGGGAATGGCTGTAGCTCTGTGCTTCATTGAGCTTATACAGCTTATACAGAAATGAAATCACTCACCACATTACAGGAAAGACAAGTTCCCATTTGCCAACTGTATGTAGAAAGAGAGACATATTTGAGAAAGGTCTACAGCAACTTTAGGCAAATGTGGTTTTCCTGTCAAAGCCAGTCTTCAGATATTAGCCTACATGGTAAGGTGGAGTTACTAATGGGCTCTGCAGACTGGCTCAAAGAGCCGGCCTGGAGGCACAGTTGGGATGGGGCATCCACACGCCGGCTGCCCCAACCTCACACCGACGCTGTCCTGATGCCACACACCATTATGTACAACATGTGGCATCAGGACATCCTTCCAGTGCAGTGTGTCACTGTGCAGGAAGGGGCAAGGAAGAGCCACATATTGGCTCTTAGGGTGGCCCTTTGCCGCCCCTGAAAGAAGTGGCATTTTGCCACTCTTTTCGGGTTGGCAAAAGGGAGGATTGGGGTTGCGGCATGGGGTAGCTGTGGCCCCAATCCGCTGTTTCCTTGGGTGGCCCAGATCTGCCCATCTGCAAACCCCCATATATCTTGTAATTAAACTAATAATGTTCCTGATAATTTGCTATGTCTTATGATATATTATCTGCTATACCGACACTTAGGTTATTAGTTGGACAAAATTTTCAGCTTTCAGACAAGGGTAAGAAAGGTGATAAGAGATATCGAGAGCAAAGCATATGATGAATGATTGATGGAGCTAGGCATGTTCAGCCTGGTGAAAAGAAGTCTTAAGCAGGGGCATTACAGTCTTTAAACATCCAAATGTACAGGTTTGTATTCTGCTGCCCCAAAGTTAGGACTCTGTCTAATGGTTACAAGAGGGTAGATTTTTATTGAACATTGGATGGAATTTCTTGATGGCAAGAGCAGGGTAAGATTAGCAAGGACCCAATTACCTATAGAGATGTTGATGTCTTTTCCTTTGACATTTTCAAAAAGAGACTTGACAAAGTACCTGCTAGGGATAGTATAGCTGGAGTTCCTGTACTGAGTGGGGTGTTGGACTTAATACCTTATAAGGCCCCATCCAACTCTTCTATTCCATGACAACACGCCTCTAGTCCATGTAGATCTGTATATAGGAGGCAAAATGTGTAAGTAAGGCTGTGCTCATCTTTAAATGTGCTAGCATGGTTCTAGTACTTCCTTCATGCAATGACACCCCCCCCCCCATCCACACAGCCTATTTTTTGCTCACAACACCTCCTCCAGTACTGTTTAGTGGCTAGGAAAGGGTGGGGGGTAGCCAGGCACCATCTATAGCCAGTCACAGAAAGAGATACCTCCCTGAGATCCACCATAGTTCTGGGAGAATGACATTATCTTGTACATCCAGATGCAGATATGCAGTCAGATGCTGCATGATTGGCACTGTTTTACTGGCCATTAAATAGCCATGAGAGTTGCAGGACAACAGGGAGGCAGATGGCAATCCACACCCATGCACACACACAAAGAGGTCTCATTATCTCATCCAGCAGGACATACTTTTGTTCTTATTTTATTCATGTAAGAATGAATTATTTCAACACTTTTGTTCCTGTTTGGTGAGATTATAAGACCACTGTACATTTTTGGAGATTTTTTTCACATTTTGGGACTTTTTTGTAAAAATTGTATTTGTGTGAAAAACTTTCTTTTAGTGCAAAACCCAATGTTTTTGCTCAAAAATGAGTGTCTTTTACACAAACATATAAGGGTGAAACAGGTGGTTCTGCACCATCCCTTTGCTTGCCAGACCAGGGCTACAGCAGCCACATGCTGTGGCTCTGATCCATCATTTTTCCACCCCCAAAAGAAGCGGCAAAATGCCACACCTTTTAGGGATGGAAAAAAGCCGCCCTTGCTGCCACCGCCATGGCTTTTCTGCATTTCTGTGGTACAGTGTGTGTAAATGCTGCACCGCAGAAATGCCGTGATGCCACTGCATGTGCAGTCAGCCATGTGGCTTCCTGGAGTGGAGGTGTGCTACTGTCTGCATGCTACGCCCCAAGCTGCTGGGACACCATCTCTTTATGCCAGTCTGTTCAGCCCCATAGTCTTCTTTCTGAAGATATTATTATTGGCATGCCCTCCATGTATTTGCATAGAAAATACTGTGTTTTATGCAAAAACTATTCACAAAAATGTCCCTTACTAGAAAAAAAATGTTACAGTAGTTGGCCATTTCCTAATGGGGTATCCCTAGGTGCTGAGCTATCCTTTCTTGTCAAAAATGACCCAGTTTGCAAGTATTCCTTTACTTCTCCATAAGGATGCCTCTTTAATTCTCTGAAGCAGGAAATGTGGAGAAAATTGGAAGCTATCATTTTATGCTGTTGGGGCTGCCGTGAAGCAATAGCTTCCATCAGGAAAAAAGGTATCACTATGCTGCTGCCTCCAGATGTATGACATGAAGAAGCAGTTTAATGGTTCCTCCTTTTACTATGGGGGAAGGAAGACTTGGCTATAAAGCTGCCAGACAATGCTCTCCTTCCAACTTTATAGAGGACAAAGTGGTGGGGATTGGTAAATCAGCTCCTTGGATTACTTCTGCCCATCTCTGTAAGCTTAAATTTGAGAGGATGTCTAGTTGCTGGTCACCTATTTTTCAAAAGGAGGTGCCATTTTTGTGATGGGGACAGTGGTCAGGAGATGAGAGGAAGCAGGCTTGCTTAAACAAAGTTTCTACAGAAAAAGAAAAGGGGAAAAATTTCTAAGCCCCCAAATAATCATTTGTTTCAATGGATAGTTTTGGTAATGTATACTGTAGAGGCAGGGGGCTTGATATTGATGAAGACCATTTTAGGATGAAGCTTTTACCTTTATGTTAAGGTTTGCAATCCATATTTTTAGAATCCAATGTTTAGTTTTATGTAAAACGGTGAAAGCCAGTGTGATTTAGTAATCTGAATGTTGGATTGGGAGTCTGAGAAACTAGCTTCCAAAAAATGGGAAGATGGGCTTCAGGATTTAGCATTAATCTGACCTAACTCAGATTAATCTTTAACTATGGGTGGGAAAATGAAAGTTTCCAATTACAATAGAGCCAACAATGCAAAATTCTTATGTGTGGTGGACAATGATGGCCCTACCATAAAACAGAATGAAGTGGCCAATTCAAGCAGATGAGGGAGGGATGGTAAAGTTTAAATCTATACTCAGCCATGAAAAACCTGTGGGTGACTTTGGGCAAGTCATGTTAGCGTAGAGGGAAAAATTGAGT